ACTTTTTAAAAAAAATTAGCTGTGTGTGATAGTGAGCTCCTGTGGTACCAGCTACTCAGGAGGCTGGTTCAGGAGGATCGCTTGAGCCCAGGAGTTCAAGACTAGCCTGGGAAACATCAGAAGACCCTAATTTCTTTAAAAAAAAAAAAAAAAAAATTAAGCCAGGCACGATGGCATGTGCCTGCAGTCCCATTTAACTGGGAGGCTGAGATGGAAGTATCACTTGAGCCTGGGAGGTGGAGGCTGCAGTGAGCTGTGATCGTTCCACTACACTCTGGCCTGAGTGACTGAGTGAGATTGTGTCTCAAAAAAAAAAAAAAGTCTTCAGGAAGGCTCCACGAGCTGTTGGTCCCTTCTTGTAGAGAAGCAGTATCCACATGTCTTATAGTTCCTGAACTCGTGACCATATATTTTATGGTGGCCTGAAGAAGCCTGGCTCTACAGAGTATGGATTGAAAAACCAACAATTGCTGGGCGGGGTGGCTTAGCTGGGTGTGGTAGCTCATACCTGTAATCCCAGCACTTTGGGAGGCTGAGGCAGGTGGATCACATGAGATCAGGAGTTCCAGACCAGCCTGGTCAACATGTCAAAACCTGGTCTGTAAAAAAATTCAAAAAATGAGCCAAGTATGGTGGCACGCATCTGTGGTCCCAGCTACTCGGAGGCTGAGGCACACAAATGGCTGAACCCAGGAAGAAGAGGTTGCAGTGAGCCGAGATCACACCACTGCACTTCAGCCTAGGCAACAGAGTGAGATTCTTACAAAAGAAAAAGAAAAAAATGTAACAAAATAATCATATATATGGATAGAAAGCGCATGTAAAGATAATTATCCCATTATAAAAGACACTGTAAATGCATTTTTTCTCAACTGATTTTTTGAAAATTGCGTAAGTATGTAAGTTGGTCCTGTAACATAGAAGTCTAATGTATGTATTTTGACAATAACAGGAGGTACATGATCACAGATGCTAATAAAAATGATCATAGCTGCTAAAGTAATCCTTATAATAATGTATTGTTGGATTTGTAATATTAATATATGTAATATATATACCACAAAAACAGGGGAAAGAGAATAGTCATATAGGAGTAACATCTACGTATATTTCTTTTTTTTTTTTTTTTGAGACAGAGTCTCGCTCTGTCGCCCAGGCTGGAGTGCAGTGGCACGATCTCGGCTCACTGCAAGCTCCGCCTCCTGGGTTTACGCCATTCTCCTGCCTCACCTCCCAGGTGGCTGGGACTACAGGCGCCCGCCACCTCGCCTGGCTAGTTTTTTGTATTTTTTAGTAGAGACGGGGTTTCACCGTGTTAGCCAGGATGGTCTCGATCTTGTGACCTCGTGATCCGCCCGTCTCGGCCTCCCAAAGTGCTGGGATTACAGGCTTGAGCCACCGCGCCCGGCCCTATTTCACTGGACTTAAGCTAATATAAATCTGAAACTAATTCTGATCAGATATGTATGGCAAATCCTAGAGAAACCACTTTTAAACACTAAAAATATACAGCAAAAATTAATTAAACTGTTGGCCAGGCATAGTGGCTCATGCCTGTAATCCCAGCACTTTGAGAGGCCAAGGCAGGGACATCACTTGAGCCCAGGAGTTTGAGGCTGCAGTGAGCTATGATAGTGCCACTGCATTCCAGCCTGGGTGACAGAGAGATCCCCTGTCTCTAAAAAAGGAAAATAAAATGCTATTTAATGTATTAGAAACTACTCATTTAATGCAAAAGAAATCAGTAAATATCATGTTCGCCATCTTTTCAAATACCCCACTTACAATGGTCCCAGCATAATTGGGGTGGCCCCCATTTCGCAAAGCTGAGGACTGGGTCTTCCCGCAGCTCTGCAGGACCAGATGACACGACAGTGAACAACCACACCATCAAGACTGTCTCAGCCTTCTGCGCCAATCCCGAACCCCATTCCTGCAGACCCTGGGCCAGGACCTAAACCAAAGCTGCAGCTCGCTGGGGCAACATTGATTGCCCAAGGTGAGGACTGAGCACAGACAGCCCTGGGGACTCTCTAGAGCAGACTCCTGATAGTGCAACCAATGGCAAGTGTGAACCGCTAGACAGAATCCTATCTCCAGGTAATGGAGGCCGAGAACTGACAAACCCAGGATATGGGTGCCAAGGCCAATAGGAAACACAAACAGCCTGTTACTAAGTAGAAACTGGACTCTTAAACCCTTAAAAAGTGATAAAAATATTTTCTGCTAGCCAAATTCAAATTTTGTTTGCCTTCCAGAGCATTGAGGTGTACTCACATGTGACCTGGATGGGCACTTTAATTTTTAAATCCAGATCCCAATTCCCACCAGGCTTTCAGTGTTCTTTACTCTCACCCACACATTTCTGATTTTGTTTTTTGTTTTTTTCCCCACACACTCTTGATTTTGAGTGTACCTCTGCCTCAGCCTACTACCATTCAGGTGTTTAACCTTTAAGAACCATGACAAGGAGAATCAAGGCCCTTGCCAGAGTATCAAAACCAGTTCAGACTGGTACAGATGAACGTCGGTAAGCACCTGGACTCTGGTGGGCTCAATGTTTTACTTCAGCCGGAAAACGACGAAGCCGTCAGGTGATGAAATAGAGAAAAGGATGTCTCAACAAGTGAAGGACCCAGTAAACTATCTGAACTCCCAAAAGGGTTTTATGTAGAAGTGATTGTCACATATAAAGATTTTGTTCCAATTACTGAAAAGATCCTCAACTATTGGAAATCATGGACTAGTGGCCCTGGTGCAGAACCAGGATTGGCTGCTGAATTCTGAAAACCAGGACTCGGCTCAACATTTAAATTTGATAGATGCCTTGATTCCCATTTTGTGTTTGTGAAAAGTGTATGTGTTTAATTTTGCTGTAAAACATAATAAACAATAAGCAATAAATATTTTCTTGAAGGAAAAAAAAATGAGGAGAGCAGGCATTTAGTACAAATGATGATTCCAGGATGCACTGTATGGAAGTGGGGAGTGAGACAAAAGAAGGAAGCCTATGCAGGATGCATTCATAAGTAGATTCCCACTGTGGGCAACTATGTTTAGTACTACTGGGGACCTCTAAAAGATGGCGTGGAAACCATTATCCCACTCGAAGGATAACTTTCAGATATACAGTTGTGTAACTTCTCTGGTCGGCAGGGAAGCTGGGTAGGCACCCTCGAATTCCCATACAGGGGCATTAACTCCATAGCACTTCAAGCAGAGAGAAAGCCTCAGGCAGGTGCTTATTGCAAGATTCCTGTTAGTGGCATATGCTAGAGAATGATGAGTGCCCGGGAAATATGGATGAGGTCCTGACACCTTCTGCTACCCACCTGCTGGTCCCTGATTGGTTTCTCTCTCCTTTGGCTTTCAGCAGTTCAGCTCATTTTGCCACTTCTCACAGTGCTTGATGCAACTCTTCTCTTTGCTCCATCCAGAAGAACTAGTATCTTTCCAATGGCCTATTCACTCTAAAATGGAACCACTTTATCAGTTGTAATTAACAATAACTGTTAGTTCCTTTGTGGTTTTTATACCTAAAAAGTTTTGTGTATACAATCAAAACACTTACTGACAAGACTCGAATACAAAGTTATATTTATTTTCAACAATGAAAACAACACAACAAAGTGGAGTCAATCCACTAATTTTTTAAATCGAACACAATGCTTAGCACAAACTATACTCAATAAATAACACATTAACCAAGTAACATTATTCTTAAGAGTCTCTAGGGTTGTGTGCGTGTTTTAAGGAAAACTGAGGGGTAGGTAAACAAAGACATCCTGCAGACTTGACTGAGAAGGGCTCCAAAAAAAGAACAGCCAAAGAGCAGGGTCCCCAAACACTAAGTTAGCAAAATGAATACAGCATTTTCAAAGCAGTCTAGAAATCAGAGCTCACTGGGGGGAAATGACAAGGGTTTGGGGATAATCTGTGTTCAAGGCCTCATAATTAAATCTTCCCATATTTCTAGATTCTTTATTTGGAATCTATACCAATCTAAAGGAGCTTCTGCCAAAGGACAGGAGATTACTTATGCTGCCTGAAATGGCCTATGCCTCCTAAATTTCCTTTCACTTTGTCACTAATATAGCAAGGGTTCCATTCCAACAAAGGATTACTACTATGTAGACCAATTGCTGTCTGGTTTAGATCTTCCTTTCATAAACACATTGATACTTGCTCAAGGAGAGCTGTAAATACATCCAATTTCTTTTCTTTTTATCCCCCTCTACAACTCTGCTTGGCTACAAAATCTAGGACTCACAGAGCAACAGCAGCAATGGTCAAAAAGTAAGTGCCAGTTCCAACGCAAGAACTCTCCAAAGTTCGTTGGTCACAATTTTTTTTAACCACCTCATCTACCATGACTTTTTTTTCTCATTATCTTGCCAATTATTTCTTTCGAAATTCAATCCTCCGAGCTACATTCTGAGCACCAAATTTTTTGACCAATGCCTCCCTGGTATCCTCATCATCTTTTTGCAAATCTATGTCATCTTGTCGGGACCAAATGGGGTATCCATCAGCTCTCTGACCAGATGCTAAGAAGGCGGAAGTAGCCTCCAGCTCACCACTATTTTTTAGGAAGGCCTGTGTAACTGTTGATAGATCCAAGTTAAACTTCTCCATTAACTGCCGAATGATCTTAATGGCAGCTCCCACCTCTGGTTGAGAAACTTTTTCTTCTTCTTCTTCTTCCTCCTCCTCATCAGGCTGTGTTTCTGAGTCTTCCTCAGGTGTGGGTGGATCATCATCACACATAGTTATATGTATTTCAAAATCAGGAGGGCTCTCATCCACCTAGACAGAATGATGAGTAAAACCAGCTCCTAATTACCAAGTCTTGAATTCTTACAATATCTGGTCTCTTCCAACTATCACCCCCTTGCCCTATGCATTCCAATCACATTGGACTTCCTTCAGATCCTCTTAATATGCTGTGTTCCCTCTTACATTTATTCATGTCTGATGTGTATGTATACGTACACGTGTGTGTGTGTACGTGCACGTGTGTGGGGGTAGGGGGAGTATATGTGTATATGTGTGTATAATTGACTACAGTATTTCAATAGATTAGAAGCTACACTGAATATGAAAAATATATGTATATATAAAGAGAGACACACATATATGTGCACACATGTTCATTAGATTTGTTAAATATTTGACTTCACTCTCAAGACTGTAAGCTCCTAAGGACAGGAATTGTATGTTTTGCTCATCACCACATCTCCAATACCTACCAATGACTATACATAATAAGTACTCAAAAAGCATTGCTGTATGAATATATTAGGGCTTCCAAGGTATACTAGTTAGACAGATTACAAAGCATGCTATATGAGAAGAGGCCTAGGTAGGTCATGTTTGAGAGCTGAGTGTTGGAAGTTTATGAAAAATGAACCAAATATCAAATAATAAAACACAGACTACAAAAAGCAACAATCCCTAAATCCTACCAATTCCTGTGCATTCCTTCACTCACCAATTACAGAAGCTTTAGATTATTTCCCTTGTTTGGACTGAAGCCTAACCATTTTTCTTTGTTAATATGAAAAGTTAGGCCGGGCGCGGTGGATGAAGCCTGTAATCCCAGCACTTTGGGAGGCCGAGACGGGCGGATCACGAGGTCAGGAGATCAAGACCATCCTGGCTAACACGGTGAAACCCCATCTCTACTAAAAAATACAAAAAAAAAACCTAGCCGGGCGAGGTGGCGGACGCCTGTAGTCCCAGCTACTCAGGAGGCTGAGGCAGGAGAATGGCGTGAACCCGGGAGGCAGAGCTTGCAGTGAGCTGAGATCCGGCCACTGCACTCCAGCCTGGGTGACAGAGTGAGACTCCGTCTCAAAAAAATAAATAAATAAATAAATAAAAGTTAATTCACAAGACCCTTTATCCTTGAAAAATATAAAATTTGGACCTTTAAAAAACTTATCATTATTGTATGGGTCCTGTCTTTCTCTGTAGCTATTACTAAATATAGGATTCTAACAGAGTAATAGAAGCTAGACTGAATATGGAAGAGCTAAAACATTTCAAAAAAGGTCAAAGTACACAAAAAGCTAAATTTGCTTGATAAAAAAAAAATTACTATAATTAGCTGGGCATGGTGGCACATGCCTGTAATCCCAGCTACCCGGTAGGCTGAGGCAGGAGAATCGCTGGAACCTGGGAGGCGGAGGCTGCAGTGAGCTGAGATGGCAGGCGCCACTGCACTCCAGCCTGGGTGACAGCGAGACTCCATCTCAAAAAAATAGAAAAAAAAAAGTACTATAAACTTTTTGAAAAACATATTGACATTAAAGTACTCAAAGTGGGATGCTTTATACTGTTTATATAACTGTCCCTATTCTACCCAATTTTTCTCCCTTTCCCCCTCAACTTGTCCTGCCAAAAACTAAAAGCTTTGTGAAGCAAAAGCTTCAGGGCAACATGTCTGAAGCCCAGATCAGTCCCATTTTCCATTTTTCCTTTCCATCTTGAAATCCTCTCTCACTTTCCTGAGCCCCAGGTAGATGAAAAAGGTGGATAGGATAATCAGTTTCAAAGAAGAATGAAGGTAGGGACAAAAATAATGAGTAAATCTAGTTAAACATACCACAACCTCCTCAAACTCCCGGGTGGCTTCCACAAGCATCTTTTTGACTGCTTCTTCATTCTCCTGGATTTCTTCCTTCACATACTCTTCTTCAGGCAAATCTGGAGTTCTCTTATTCTGTGGTTCTGTTAAAAAGAACAGGACAGACTAGCAGTAGCCTCTTTTATACAAACCAAAAATATATTGTCTGCTGTGCGAGCTCTGGGCCAGGAGTGAGCCTGCACTTTTTTTTTTCTATCAGAAGACATCTGTTTTTGATTCAGAAGGGTAAAAAAAGTCTAAGACGTGTTCATACACTTATTTCTATGCTTGCTTCTGAAAAGATGTACTATCCAAATGATTATACATTCTTAAACTGCCATATAAAAAATGCTCTTCAAGTTTAATTCATTTTTTGCTTTGTATTTACAGACTTTGCAAATTAACAAAAATGTGTCATAAATTGGGTTCCTTGGGAAACAAACTCTGAGATGGAGACTGACATTTAAAGAATTGGGGAGCGATATTGGGAAAACCTTTGTGGAAGAGAAGGAAAGCAGGAGTCAGCAGAGAGAGAAGCTGATTTATCAAAGAGTTATAAGGCCTCAGCCAAAACCATGGGCAACTCTGGAGCTAGGAAGGCCCTTCAGAATTGACCAAGCTGGGGCCAAGGAGCAGAGACTTTGTAACTCTGCAAATATCAATCATTGGATGGTGGCAGCCCTAAGAAGACAGGACTTTGGGCAAGGCAGCTCTCCTAGCAGCCAAAGGCAGATGTGGGCCACGTACCACAATCCACCATATACCACCTACAAAAAGGAGGGCCTTCTAAATTTAAACATCCTGTTTCTTCTCCTTTACATTTTGTTCTCTGAAGATCTAACTCTGCTCCTTTTCTGCTTACTAAAATATACAACAAAGGGGCAGCAAGAGGGAGTTTTTCATGATGGAATTGCTCTAAATCCCAATTTCGGTGCTGGTTACAAAATATAACATATGTTAAAACACATATAACTGGAAAAGAGAACAGCAGTCCCTCAAAAAATTCAATATAATTTCATGATGACAACCCACAAGGAAAAAGAAAAAATTAAACATAAAATTACTATATGATCCAGCAATTGCATTTCTAGGCATAAACCTAAAATAATGGAAAGCAGGGTCTCAAACACATACTAGTCATACCCATGTTCACAGCCACATTATTCAAAATAGACAAAAGATGGAAATAAGCCAAATGCCCATTGATAGATGAATGGATACACAAAACATAGTATATACATACAATGGAATATTATTCACCCTTAAAAAGGAATGAAATTCTGACACATGCTACAACATGGATGAACTTTGAAGATATTATGCAAAGTGAAATAAGCCAGACACAAAAGGACAAATAGTACATGATTCTACTTGTATGAGGTATCTAGAAAGATTGAATTCATAGAAACAGAAGGTGGAATGGTTGTTTCCAGAGGCTAAGAGGAGGGAGAAATGGGGAGTTAGTGTTTAATAGGCATGTTTCTGACCCCTAAAAGCAGAAAATAATAAAAGGCATGGAGTTTCAGTTTTAGAAAATGAGTAAGTTCTAGATACAGATGGTGGCTGACAGTTGCCCAACAATGTGAATGCACTTAATAATGCCACTGAACAGAACACTTAAAAAACTATTTGAATTGTAAATTTTATGACATATACATTTTACCACAATAAAAAAGTTTTTAAAATGCATGTAATTGTACACCATAAAAAGTTAATTTTACTGTATGTATTTAGTTAAATTCTTAAATAGTAACTTAAAAAGCCTTATCTTTGAGAGATACATGCTAAAACAGATAAAATGATATGATGTCTGGCATTTGCTTCAAAATAGTCCAGGAAGTTGGGATGAAAGGTACAGATTTAAAAAACGCCATGAACTACAATCAGGTGAAGGTGGGTGATGGCTACCTGCAATATAGCTCATTACACTATTCTCTATTTGTAAATGCTTGGAATTCTCTATAATAAAAAGTAAATTACTGTTCATTCACATAATGAAATACAGTGCAATCAATGAGAAAAGAATGAGGAAAATCTTTATGCAGACTACACAAACACTTCAAGATAAATAAGTTTAAAAAAAGTAAACCACAGAGTAAGCTGATGTCTAGTGTGCTAGTACTACTACGAGCAAAGGGGACATGTAACAGACAAGGGACGATAATAAAGGTTGCCTCTAGGAAAGGACCTTAAGGGTATGTAAATAGGGAGACTGCCTTTCAGTATGTACCCATTTGTTCTCTGAGTATATCTACGGGATAAATTCCTAGAACAAAACTGCCATGTTTAAGGGAATATACATTATAAATGTCATCAGATATTGTCAAAATGTCCCCCAAAGAAATTGTATCAATTTCTATTAACAACGTAGGAATATACTTGTTTTCCCATATACTTACTTTGGATATTATCCATTGTATTGACTTTTGCCAATCTTACAGATAAAATATAACATTTCCTTGCTCTGATTTACTTAAAAAAATAAATAACTTGGGGAGCTTTTGTTCTATTTTGTATAATGGAAGCTATCTCAATTCATCAAATAAATACACAACAATTCCAACACATTTATTATCTCACAGGTCTCATGGGTCAAAGTATAGCTTATGCTGACCCTCTGCTCAGGGTCTGATTTACTTTCTCTTTGGTTTTTTTTTCAAGATGGACTCTGGCTCTATCGCCCAGGCTGGAGTGCAGGGGCTTGATCTCAGCTCACTGCAACCTGCACCTCCCCCATTCAAGCAATTTTCATAACTCAGCCTCCCGAGTAGCTGGGATTACAGGCGCAGGCCACCATGCCTGGATAGTTTTTGTAGTTTTAGCAGAGACGGAGTTTCACCATGTTGACCAGGCTGGTCTCGAACTCCTGACCTCATGTGATCTGCCGCCGCTTGGCCTCCCAAAGTGCTAGGATTACAGGCGTGAGCCACCGCACGGGTCTGATATACTTTCATTTAATAACAGAATATTTCTTCATTTGTTTATTGGCCGCTTATTTATTTCCTTTTCTGGGAACTTCCTGTTCTATTTCCTTTTCTCATTTTTCTATTAGTTTTCTTTTTACTTAATGACTTCTTAATGACAAAGAGCTCTTTAGACATTAAAGAAACTAAGTCTATTGCAATGTGTTAGGAATGTTTTTCCAGCATACTCTCTGACTTTATTTATCATGAGAAGTTCTTAATTTTCAGGTAATCAAATATATAAAACTTTTTCTTAGTCTGTTTGGCTTCATGACTTACCACCATGCTAATATTTTTTACTTTTTTTCTTCTGGCAAATCAGGCAGCATCCTGAACCACAAATGGTTCAAAGCAACTCCCACTGTACTGATATATTCATTCATATCTTCTCTTACTCATTTTAGAATTTTCTAATTTTTACATTTACATATCTTATTATCAAAAGATTACTTAGAGGCATAGGATGAATCCAGCTCAATTTTGTCCCAAGTTCCAAACGGCTTGCCAATAGTCCCAACATCACAGATTTAAAAGCAAGGCCTGGACACAGCATGCTGGCTCACACTGGAATCCTAGCACTTTTGGAAGGCCAAGTTGGGCAGATTGCTTGAGCCCAGGAGTTTGAGACCAGCCTGGGCAACATGGCCAAATCCTGTCTCCACAAAAAAAATACAAAAATTAGCTAGGTGTTCTGACGAGTGCCTGTAGTCCCAGCTACTTGGGAAGCTGAGGTGGGAGGATCCACTGAGCCTGGGAGGTCAAGGCTGCAGTGAGCCGTGATCGCACTACTGCACTCCAGCTGTGTGCCAGAGTAAGACCCTGTCTCAACATATACAAATAAAAATAAAAGCAAGGCCTTACATGATGACATACTTCACCCATACACATAGCCCTAACTTCATCTGCTAGATTAATTCTCTTCCTACTCCATTACAGCCACTCTCTTCTCTTAGTGGCTCCAAAAACACACCAGTCACACTCCCACATAAGGGCATTTGCCCTGGCTTCTTCCTCTGCCTGAACACTCTTCCCCAGATATCCACCTGGGTTGGTCTTTCTCTTCCTTCGGTCCCTGCTTAAACATCAGCTTATGAGAGTCACCTTCTCTTATCATCCTATAGGAAAAACCTCCTCCCCAACCCTTTACATTCTTGAATTATTTTTCTCCATAGCCCTTACCACCCCCCAGTTACCATGTTATAAGCTCCATGACCACACGGACTTTTATTTGTTATATTCCAGCGGGACAACAATGTCTGGCACTCAAATATCGGCTGAATGAATGAAGCCGAAACGTCACTTTTACCAAAAACAAAATTCCTACTAAGCATACTGAACAAGAGAAAAAGATTTTACTCCCCAGACTCCAAGTGTTAAATGGAGTAGCCATACAGGCAAAGAAAAGGTGGGAGGATTAGGGAGGGGGAGGAGAAGCAGCATGCCTCCTTAAACAAAAGGGTCTGTCAGTTTAAGTTGTCAATGCCAGATACGTCACAAGTACATCTTAACAGCCTAGCTCTGCATCCTAGTCATACTGAACTCCAATTTTCAACTCAACTGCATTCAAAATTCACTTCACCTAAGCAAGACCAGGAAGAGACCTTCCAACTGCCGAGAACCTTCTTAAGTCCATAGGCATTCAGTTACGCCACAGCATTAAAATGAACAAGTCTGGTACGCTTTTATACTGCATCTACCTGAACATAGCAGCAATCTTTTTTAAAAAGGAGTCTGTGGAACATCTCTTAACAGAAACACAAGAAGCCAGTTATCCCGTCGGTAAGTGGTGGGCAAGAAGGACGAGATAAATTATTATTATCTTTTTTTTTTTTTTTTTGAGACGGAGTCTCGCTGTCACCCACGCTGGAGAGCAGTGGCGCAGTCTCGGCTTACTCCGCTCCCCCGAGGTTCAAGCGATTCTCCTGCCTCAGCCTCCTGAGTATCTGTGACTACAGGAACTCTCCGCCAAGGCCGGCTAATTTTTGTATTTTTAGTAGAGACGTGGTTTCGCCATGTTGGTCAGGCTCCTCTCGAACTCCTGACCTCGTGTGATCCGCCCGCCTCGGCCTCCCAACGTGCTGGGATTACAGGCTTGAGCCACCTCGCCCGGCCAAGAGAGGACTTTCTATATATTCTTTTTGTAACTTTTGAATACAGAACCATGTTAACATTCTAGTCAATGGTAAAGTAAATTAAAACTAGACCAAGAAGCTGGGTGTGATGGCTCACGCCTGTAATCCCAACACTTTCGGAGGCCGAGGCGGGAGGATCGCTTGAGCCCAAGAGTTCAAGACCTGTTAGGGCAACACACCGAGACCCCCATCTCTACAACAATTTTTTTTTTTTTTTTTTTTTTTT